TATTTTGAAAACAAAAGGAACATGAACAATCCAACTAAAAAATGGACAAAGGACCTAAATAGACACTTGTCCAAAGAGGACATACAGACGGCCAAGAGACATACGAAAAAAAGCTCAAAGTCACTAATCATCAGAGAGATGCAAATTAAAACCACAATAAGGTATCACTTCACACCTGTAAGAATGGCTACCATCAACAAATGTCAAGTGCTGGCCAGCATGTGGAGAAAAGGGCACCCTGGTACACTGCTGGTGGGAATGCAGACTAATGTAGCCACTATGGAAACAGTGTGGAGTTTCCTCAAAAAGTTAAATATTGACCTGCCATTTGACTTAGTGATCCCACTTCTGGGAATATAACCTAAGAAACCCAAAACACCAATTGGAAAGAATTTATGCACCTCTATGTTCATAGCAGCACAGTTTACAATAGCTAAGATCTAGAAACAGCCCAAGTGCCCTCAGTAGATGAGTGGATAAAAAAGCTGTGGTACATTTACACCATGGAATATTATGCAGCTGTAACGAAGAAGGATCTCTTACCTTTTGAGACAGCATGGAGGGAACTGGAGAGTATTATGCTAAGTGAAATAAGCCAGTCAGAGAAATACAAGTATCACATGATCTCACTCATATGTGGAATACAATGAGTAAAATAAACTGATGAACAAAATAGATCTAGGGGGGAAAAAGTAGATACCTACTCCATTTATTGCCTTGAGAACTTGGGCAAAATACTTAGGCTTTCTGAGCCTGTTTCCTCACATAATAAATGGATACAGTAATACAGATGTCTGGAGATGTTGTCAGAATTACTTGAGAAGGTATATACAAAGCACCTCATCCCAGGGCCAGGCATTTACTAGACACCCAAAGAATGCTTATTGTCTGATTAACTGTTAAATTACATGATGCACATAAATACAGTACACTAGTATGTAATAGATCATTCCTCTCCTTTACCCACCCTATCCCCTTCTTAAAAGCTCAGCATGACCTGGATCTTCCATTGAGTCTCGGTGCTGTTTACCAAACAAATAACTATTCAGGGTAGCAGTTGTCATCAACACCTGGGCCCACTGCAACACAGCCTGCCTTTTCTTCTTACTTGTTGTGATGAAGTTACTTGCAACATGAGGAGATAAAATGGACCCCTGAAGAATATGAATCAATCAAGGACATCCCCAGGCATCTAGCCCTCATTACATGCTCAATAAATACGTAAAGAATAAATGAAGGATCTAGAAGCTAAGAGGTTAGTAAAATGTGTCACCAGCCCAGCTTCTGCCCTAAGTGCCTAGTAAGAGGCTACGCTGGCAAAGCCCCTTAGCAGTTAGTTTAGATGTGTCAGTGTAGCTAGTCAGTCCTCAACTAAGCAGTGAGGCATGTGTGACACATCGTAAGAGGGTGTGTCTGGGTGTGGGCTATGTGGAAGACAATACAGCAGCACATGGCAGAAGAATGAAAGGTGAGGCAAGATTAGTTTGGAATATTAGAAGAATTAAAGAGGTAAGAGCCTCCTGGGATGCCAGTTTATAACATAAAGAGTACGGAACGGACTAAATGTGAGGAAACTTGCTGCACAGCTTCACAGCCAAATTTTTCTGAAAGTTGAGAAAATAATGTTTAATAGAATGTCTTGAAAAAGTGGTACACAAGCCAGGACCCTGTTCTTCAGAACAGTATGAGAGACTGAGAAAAAGGTCAGGGGTGGCAGTGGGAACAGGGAAAATGGACCACAGAAAGCTTCACACAGATTAAAGGTGATTGTTCTAAAATCAAAGTAGCAAGGGGGGGAAAACTTTTGCACTAACATTTCCTGTTTGTCTTTTAGTCAAGAAAATCCAACATTAAAAACCAAAAAACCCTAATTCTCATGTCTTTCTTCTCAGATCTCATCCAGCATATCAGAAAGTCCCAAGGTAGAACCTACAAAGACAGGTCCAGCTGTGAGCCAATGCCTGCTAGGACATCAGCGCTAAATTATCAGACAAAACCATCACCAACAAAAACCTGCAACGGAAGTCCACTTGTCCACCCAGCTCCTAACTACCTCAAATGCTAATGAGTTCAGAAAGAATTATTTCTGTCAGTCTCTGAAAATGGTTTTCAGGAAATAGAATAAAGTAACAGTCATAAAATGAACAGCTGGGAGGAGCAAAGCCAGCATGAAAAACAACAGCTGAAAAGGTTCACACACACACACACACACACCCCCCCAATAAGGGTAATCTTGTTTCATATATTAAAATTGAGACACTTTTATAAAATATTGGTTATAAAAAGCTAATAAAAATGAAACGTAACACTTTCAAAGGGGCAGATATCAACATTATCTTCAAACTTGTGTTCTATGAGGTAATTTCATAAATTACATATCACATTGGCAAAACTTCGCTAACTGACACGATGAAGACTGAAACTTTGAAATTCTTTTAACCAGTGTTTTTTGCCCTCTAACAAGGGGTAATCTTTTGGCCTCTAACAAGGGTTTTCTGCTTCAGCTTCTATCTGGGGTTTTGCATTTTCTTACAGGAGAAAACTGATGAGGGTGAGCATGAATTTAGATAAAAATTGGCACATTTTTAGGTTCTAAGAGGCAAAAATTTAAATGTGATCACGTCTGACAAAATCTTGTTATCTATTTCAGACCAACTCATATGACTGGGATTTCGTACCTTCTCTCTCGGAACTTGAAACAAGTATGGCACAAACATCAGATAGTTAAGCGGGGGCTTTAATATAGTCTTAGGTAGTTTGCAGCTTCGTGAAATGTGGGCAAATAAAAAAAGTAAAATGGAGACATTCAAATGAAATTATTATCCAAAATTTAGTTTGATAGTTTCTTAAAAATTTAAGCATAAATTTCCCACATAACTCAACAATTTCACTCATATATTTCTACCTTAGAGAAATTAAAATACATGCACATCTTTGTATGTATTAGCAGTATTATCGAAACAGTCAAAAATTAGTAATAATCCAAATGTCCTTCAACCGATGAGTAGATAAATAAAAAGTGGTATATTCATACAAGAGAATACCATTTAGCAAGAAAGAGGAGTGAAGTATAGATATATGCTATATCATGGAAGAACGTCAAAAACATGCTCAGTGAAAAAAGCCAAATGCAAAAGATCACATATTATATGATTCTAGTTATATGGAATATTGAGAAAAGTAAAATCTGTAGAGACAGAAAGCAGATGATGAATGTTTTCCTGGGGTGGAAGGTGAGAAAGGGGAGTGAGTGGAGATGAGCTCGAGAAATCCTTTTGGGATGTAAAAAATGTTCTAAAATTAGATTATGACAACAGTTGCAAGACTTAATAAATATAGTAAAAATCACATAAGTATACTCTTAAAATGAGTGAATTTTATGGTATGTCAATTATACTTCAATAGAGCTATTTTAAAAGTAATCTAGAAAGGTGCAAAATGTAACATGCACAGATCTTAAGTGTACAACCCAGTGACTTTTAACATATGTACACACCCATGTAACCAGCACCCAGATCAAGATATAAAACTTTGCACGCCAGAAAGTTTCCTTGTATCCTTTCCTACTTACCAGTTCACCATCCCTCTCCACAAGAGTGGTTACCACTAATTTGCTCTCTATCATCTTGATTCCTTTTGTCTGTACTGAAACTTCAGTGTTTCTTTTGCTCAACATAATGTCTGTGAGATTCATCCAAGCTGATGTTCAGTAGTTCTTTTTTTTTTTATAATTGTTGTGGAGTATTCACTGTATAAATATACCACAATTTGTTTATAAAGTCTTCTGTTAAAAAAATATTTAGGTTGTTTCCAGTTTGGGGCCATTATGAATAAAGCTGCTATGAACATTATTTTTGATGTTTGTTGACATACACACTCATTTTTCTTGGGTACATAGTTAGGAGTGATTCAAAGAGTAAGTGAATGTTTAGCTTGGGTAGAAACTGCCATAAAATTTTCCATAGTTGTTAAACAAATTTCCACTCCTACTAACAATGTCAGAAAGTTTCAGCTGTCCTACCTCCCCAACAGTTGGTAATGTCAATCTTTTTAATTTTAGGCATTGTGCTAAAATTACATTGTGTGTAGAGGCTTTAACTTGCATTTCCTTGATTGAGAATGAAATTGAGGACATTGTTCTATACTTACTGACCACTTGGATATCTCTTTGGTGAAATGCCTGTTTGAGGATTTTGTCCATTTTTTAATAGGTTATCTTTTTCTTATTGCTTTATAGAAGTTCTTCATTGTATACATAAATCTTTTATCAGATATATGTATTATAAATATTGTTCCCCAATCTGTGTCCTGCCTTTTCTCTCTCTTAATGGTGCCATTGATACACAAAAGTCCATGATATTAATGAAGTCCAATTTATCATTACTTTCTTTCACTGTTAGAGTTTTTATATCCTGTTTAAGAAATCTGTCCCTATGCCAAGGTATCGAAGTATTCTCTTAAGTTTTCTCCTAGAAGCTTTATTGTACTACCTTTCACAGTTGAATCTTTAATCACTGATCAAATTCATTTTTGTCTGTGGATTCACAGTTCATTTCTTTCCCCCTAAAGATACCCACTGGATGCAGCACTGTTCATTGATAAGACGACCCCTTCCCACAAGATTGCAGTGGCATCGTGTCCACAGTCAGGTGACTATATTTCACATAAATCTGTTTCTTGACTCTATTATGTCCCATTGTTCAAGTTTATCCCTGGGGAATACTATTGTCTTAATTACTGGAACATTATAGCAGTCTTGAGCTGGAGAACATTTTAAGCACAACTTTTTTGTAGAATTTCTAAGCTATTCTTGTAAGAGAGACAAATGGCAAAAATTATTTATTTCAAGTCTTACATGTCATCATATATCTATTTTAAAGAAGATAAAGTCCTTAATCAGTAAAATGAAAAATAGTTTCGCCACATAAGGTTTACAAAACTTAGGTGATCTCTTATGTTAACTTCAGGAACCTTTTGAACTCCAAATGAAAATGCCTTACCTGGGTAAGGTAAATGGTATCTTTGAACGCACGTAACGGATCTGTGCTTTGCGGGAGTTTGAAATGAAGTCCAGCCTGATAAAGCATTTCACTGTTACCGTTTTCATGATGTTGTCGATGATATGAAAATCTGCTTTCGTAAGACCAGTCCTCTCTAGATGAAACCTTTTGAGTAAAGGATAAGAGGTGCAAATTGGGAAATTAGGAGTAAAAATACTTTTCTACACATTTCTGACAAACTTGAAAAGTTCTCTACACACTAGAATCATTTCACCGATGTTTTTGCCATCACACTTATTGTTGGTGAAAGATCAGCCTCGTGCAAAGTCAAACCACAAAACCAGGATTTGGCACCTATACCTCCCCTTACTCAAATGTAGAAAATTACAATTTGATATTTCCATTAAAAATCTAGTCTTATCAAAATATTATTCCTTTTTTAAACATTAGTTATGTGTATTTTTTTTAAATGTTAATCCTCACATGAGGATTATATTTTTATTAATTTTAGAGAGAGAGAGAAAGAGAGACAGGGAGAGAGAGAAACATCGATGCGAGAAAGAAACATCGATTGGCTGCTTCCTGCACGGGCCCTGACCAGGGTCGAGCCCCCAACCTGGGCATGTGCCCTGACTGGGAATGGAACCAGAAACCTTTCAGTATACGGGACGATGCTCCAACCAACTGAGTCACACTGGCCAGGGTTAGTTATGTGTATTTTTAAATGTCATCTTATCTACTTAGAGTAAGTAAGTTGTCAAAACTGAATAATGGACTGAAATCAACATTTTGCTAAAACTGTCAATTCTTTAACAGGAATAAAATATCACTATTAACATGGTAAATGCTTTAGCACCTGCTCATTTGTTTCTCAGTGATTACTAAATATACGTGAAATGTTTAATTTTTATATAGTTGAAGACACAAACCAAAAGTGATACTCCTTTTCCCTAAAATAGATCTTTTTTTTTTTTTTTCCAGTCAGACACAACTTCAGGATCTTTCTTTTATCCCTTTGATAAGCTATTATTAGGTCAAAGTAAAAAACAAAAACAAAAAAACACATTAGTGTCTTTTTACAGAAAAAGAAAAAGCAATAATTCTGGCCTCTAGGCCTATGAATTAATGCACTGCTAGCACTTGATAAAGATATAAGATAACTGCAGACTACATTTGAAAATATCAGAATTTTAATCCATCTTACACAGTTTAAAAAAACATATTCCACCCACCCTCAAAAACCCCTAAAAATTAAAAAGTTTAATTCCTGTTCATAAAATATGACTTATAATTCCCACTAATGCATGCACAGACCAATCACCTTAAAAGGAAACAGTTATTCTCTAGGCATTTATTTATACCAAACAAGGATTTTTGTGGAAGTTTTTTTGGGTTTGTTTTTCTTTGGGGGGGGGGTTGTCGAATAGCCACATTTAATGTGGAAGTTTTTCCAAATTACATAATTTTTTTAAACTGTTACCACCAGACAGTTTAGAGAACATGAATTACGCCTGTTATTTATTTAAAATAGAGGTATTAGTATTACAGTCATCTGTATACATCTGAGATGCACATCTTTACCAATAATCTTCCTCTTTTTAATGAGTCTTCCTTTCTAAAGTCTGAAACACACCTCTGGGTGTCTCAGCTTTCTCTCTCATTGGTAATAATCTGAATGTATCCCATAACCAGTAAACCTAAACCTTTGTTACATGGGAAACTTTCTACCTTCTGATAGCTGTGGTTCGGAAGTCTTATAAATTTCAGCTATGACAATGTTACCAGAAGGAATTAGAGAGTGCCAGGTAAGGTTCTAATTGCTTTAAGAATATTAACTCATTTTAATCCTCATAACAACCATATAAGTAGGCACTATTATCACACTATTTTACAGATTAGAAAACCAAGCACAGAAAGGTTAAGTACTTTGGCCAAGATCCAAAACTAACTTGTGCAATCTAGTCTCAGCCTCTAGTTCTTTAAACTTAGATGTATCCGAAGAAAACAAAACTATAATACAAATTATATGGGCAGAATGGCCTTGATGAATAGTAGCAATAGCTTACATTTTATGGACTCTCACTGTGTCAAGAACTATGCTAAGGTGGGGGG